CAGGTACAATGTATAGGAGCTTTACTGTGTTATATCTGACTTCTTATATACCAGGTACACTGTACAGGATCTCTACTGCTTGATGTCTGCTTCCTACACAGGTACACTGTACAGGAATGCTCTACTGCTTGATGTCTGCTTCCTCTATACCAGGTACACTGTACAGATCTCTCCAGGTGCTTTTCTGCTTTCCTATATACCAGGTACACTGTACAGGATCTCTACTGGGTGATGTCTGCTTCCCCTATACCAGGTACACTGTACAGGATCTCTACTGGGTGATGTCTGCTTCCCCTACCAGGTACACTGTACAGAATCTCTCCTGGGTGATGTCTGCTTCCCCTATACCAGGTACACTGTACAGAATCTCTCCTGGGTGATGTCTGCTTCCCCCCTATACCCTGTAAACGGTACAGGATCTCTACTGGGTGAAACCAGGTACTAGGCTACTGGGTTCCTTCCTATACCAGGTACACTGTACAGGATCAGAACCTACTGGGTGATGTCAGCTTCCTCTGTACCATGTAAACGGTACAGGATCTCTACTGGGTGATGTCTGCTTCCCCTGTATCAGGTACACTGTACAGGATCTCTACTGGGTGATGTGTGCCTCCCATGTACCAGGTACACTACTGTACAGGATCTCTACTGTGTGATGTCTGCTTCCTGTATACCAGGTACACTGTACTCTGTGATGTCTGCTTCCTTACCAGGTACACAGTATAGGAGCGTTACTGTGTTATATCTGAAGGGCTTCTGTTACCAGGTACACTGTACAGGATGCCTACTGCTTGATGTCTGTACAGCTTCCTCTGTACCAGGTACACTGTACAGGATCTCTACTGGGTAATGTCTGCTTCCTATATACTAGGTACACTGTACAGGATCTCTACTGGGTGATGCCTGTACTGCTTCCTACTGTACAGGTACAATGTACAAGATCTCTACTGTGCGATGTCTGCTTCCTATATACCCGGTACACTGTACAGGATCTCTACTGTGCGATGTCTGCTTCCTACACCAGGTACACTGTACAGCAGGAGTAGGCAACCTTAAAGAGGTGGAGATCTACTTCACAAAAAACTGTATGATAGAATCGTGTGCAAAGCAATCTCCGGGTTTAAACAGTGTGAGGAGGCAACATCCTGTCACACCTTTGAGCAGTGCCTGATGCACTTGTGAATGAGCCCTTAGTTGCATCTGGCAGCCACACTCGTTCACATGTAAAGTTGGGGGGGGGGGTGAAACTCTGGTTGTGTTGTGCTGCGGTTTTACAGCCCCCAATCCCTACCCCCTTTAGCTGCTGAAGCAGTAGCCAGAAGTGTACACATGCTGCAGCAGGAAAAAAACTAAGCATTTACAATTACAATCATATTTTCAGATTAAGCATTTTGTTCAAGTTTTCTTTCCACAGTTACAATAAATACATTTTCCCTTTCAGTCTGTAGATTGAACCGGACCCTATTGCTGATGCAACCAGGGTTTGATTCAAACACACTAGTAACAGGCCTGGTCCACATGGACACTACTTGAAAATAAGTATGTTTGTACCTACATAGGTCACTTATAGCTTCTACCTGTACATAATCACTAAATATTTTTCAGTTCAAACACAAGAATGACTGACTGACCTTAGCAATTTTCTCAACATTCAACAGATTAAACGATAGATGCACCTTTAGGAGCCTGTTACGTTATATCTGTATTTAACATGTTACTAGTAACATGGCTTTTGCTACTGGAACCACACACCTGCTGTCACATATCAGCCTCTGCCCCTACAGCTTCATCATTCATTCATAGAGAATTGTGAATGAGAAAACTACAAGTCCTGTCTGCCACCGTGGCTTGTAGCTCTCAATGAACTTCAAGGGAACTGGTGAGCACCCTTGTATTTCTTTCACAAGCTCTGCAGCTTTCAAACTGACAGCACATACAGGGGTACAGACAGAAGGCTGCAGGAGCCTGACATTGCACTTGTGATCCACTAATCTTGGGTGCAATGGTCTGCAGGCCCCTATGAAAAAATAAATGCACATTTTTTTTTTCTGGCAAAAAAAAATGTGCATTTATTTTTTTCGCAAAGGTGAAGTTAGCCTTTAAACATGTCTGCTATGCTCAAAATAGGGGTATAGCTAGATGTCATGGGGTCACATAGCAATTTTCTCTCTTCTGCACCTAGTAGTGTCAGCTGTGACAATACTGTCATTGATTGAAGCACAAAGTAATGCTGGCTATACACGGTTAGAAAATCGGTAAAAAAAAAAGCGGTCGGACTTATAAAGATCAGTTGAACGTGCATACAATAACGCCATCATTATATCAAAATGTATCCCCCAATTGTTCGACATAGTATGAATCATTAACTTCATAAATGGTGCATTTTCTGTCAATCGGTGGAAATAATGTAAGGTAAGGATTTTTTTACCTTTTGTGAACCCTCCCACTGGCCAATTCTGTTTAAAAGAGATCTTATTTTTCATGGCTTTTACAGCTGGGTTGACATTTTAACACACGCTTGCACTGTAGAATTTTTTTTTTTTTCTGTTTTTGATCATGCAATTTCACTACTAATGTTTAGAAAATCGATCGTTTTGGCACAAAAAAATCCAACATGACGGTACATTTTTTTGTCATAAAACTTTGCATTTCGATAACTGAAATTAGCCCACTAACATTTCAAAAGTCAAATGATCGAGTATATGGAACACTTTTTCAGCTGATTTTCTAACCGTGTATGTCCAGCTTTAGGCTGGCTATACACTAATTTTTTTGTCATGAAATTAGGTCACTAAAGCCTTAGAGAAGATTTTTTGTGGCTAAAATTCAGCTTTAAAAGGAGAAGTGTACCTTTCATACTGTAGCATGCTGCATGTTACACCCATATTCATGTAACATGTTACGAACGGACCAGCGCCTTACACCCCCTTATCTGCTATTGTGACAGCTAGCTAGGGGGATCTTCTCCTCCCCGCTAGCTGTCACAATTTTTCAAAAACATGGCCGTGCAGGGCTCTGCCTGCCTCCGGATGTGTCACTTATTCACAGTGTTCTGTGAATGAGAAAATTACAAGCCCCAGCAGATTTTGCGGCTGTCGGCTTGTAGTTCTCAACTACCACAGCACTGTGGTGGACACAGAAGTCTTCCCAGAAGAATCCCTAAACAGCTGAAGAAGTGCCCTTCTTCCTCATACTTGTCAGTTTTTTTCCCAAAAATTCATGAGGTTTTGACCCTCCTTGAATTCCCTCCACCCCATTAGGACCCAAAATACTGCCCCATCTCCTAAAATTTGACCATTACAGCCTTTTTATCAACCATACTGTTTCAGACCGCCTGTCACCCCGATTGAGTGATTCTGTCAGGAAACTGCTTCCTCGCTGCTGGGACACAAGACAAAAGGTATTATAGCTGGGCATCACACCCAAGACTAGGTGACACTAGCTTAGGTGCAAAAACTGGTACTCTTTATTCAACAGAAATACAGGTTTTTTATACATTCAGAAATTGGAACAGTCCCTCTCACGAACAATAAAAAACAAATATTACACATTGGGATAAACATCCTGTACTGATTAGGTAAGAGCTTGATCACATTATCTAGTACAAATGGTAAATAGTACAGCTAACAATGATCTAATTTACAGTAAGCTAATAAACAGCCAAGTACCCAGACAAGCTAGGGAGCTCACCCCAGGCAACCCGGTACTGCCTACCCTGAATACACAAAGTACATTACACATGCTGTCTTTCAGGTGTTTGTTTTCACTTGTATAATCTGTCCATAAAACAAAACTCATACAATATTTCAACAGTCTGAAAAAGTGGAATTCATTTATCTTGATAGATTTCTTGAGGCGATTGTTAAGTATTTCTGTCCAAAGTGGAGGACCTTATCCAACCCATTCTGCAGGAGGGCCCCATATTTCCACCTACCATTAATCTGTATAATATTAATATTACATCTTTCCATCCACTCCAGAAGGGAAGCTGTATTGTCTTTACTCAGAAAATTATTCCAAGCCTCGCCAGCGGTTATGTTGTTGTCCATCATTAGAGAAAGATCTGCTCTCTCTATGTGCCATAGTGGGTAGAAGGCAATCCCCTAGTCCCTTCCAAAAGCCCCTGTTCTGGTTGAGTCTGTCACACAGACTATGAGCATAGGTCTCCCAAATATCAGGGATATTACTAGCACTATGTTAAATCAAAGCTTTTCTATTGTGCAATCAGAAAGTTGGAGTAGTTATCAAGAGACAAAGTGGACAGATCTGTCACAGCATTAAACAGTAATACTACACACAGTCATGTCAGGCTCTTCATAAACAGAACAGGGCATCAATGAGGGATGATTTTGGCCTATTTTGTACGGTGCTGTGTATGTGTCACATGACCATTTTGTAGTCATTCCTCTGCTAGATCGACACTGGGAGTAACCGCTTGGTTACATTCAATACTTACAAAGTCTAAAGTACCCGAACAAGATTGTTAGGATAGTAAAACACTGGAATTTGCTGCTTGAAGATAATCAAGTTCTCAAAAGTTCGCAAAATGCCCTCCTAAGGAGAGTATCGCCTAAGTTGAACCTTTGACCAGCCCCAGGGACCAAATAGTAGTTTACTTCACCTGATACTCCATACCAGTTTCCCCAGTGAGTTTCTCTTCCAACAATCTTGTCACACAAGATACATATTGGAAAAATCTGAGCACCACATCTGGTTGTCCCACACTGTACTTATGAGACATGCCACCCAGAATTTTTTCCTACCTGGGGCCCTATGCAGGGGCGGACTGACAACTCATAGGGCCCCCGGGCAATAGGGGATCATGGGACCCCTGTGTCCTTGCCCAAACTCAAAAAAGCCTATGAAAAAGGTACCAGGGGCATCTCATGGGGCCCCCTACTGACCCCGTAAACTCGAGCAGTGCCCGAGTTTCCAAATGGTCAGTCCGCCCCTGGCCCTATGTATACCCTTTTAGAAGTTCCTAATTAAATATCACGCATATTTAACAATTAGCAATCATGACTTATGCACTCAAGCACCTGAAATAAGGCTAAATCTTTCACATTGTTTAAAATCTAATATTCGGGGAAGAAATCAAATTTTGTCCACTGTCAAGAGAGATTGAGTCACTCATCAAACCTTACTGGTGTCCTGAAGGTTAGGACAGAAGAGACTATTACATTTAAAATAAATTTCTTCGGTATCAAACTGTATTGCAATTGTACTTCTTCCCTTTATATTATAAAGCACTGCGTAAACAGTTGGCACTATACAAATCCTATATAATAATAATAAAAGCCTAATGTTGGTGGTCTGTTGTCCTGTTCTCCAAGCTGTCCATTCTTGACTGGTAAGAAAATTTTATGAAGACATTCTGCTCCAAAACTGTGGTGGAATTTTAGTCAAGACCCCTTGGCCACTATTAACACAAACACATGCATGGACCTTCTTCATGATTGAATGCCTACTGGATGTTCTGGGCCAGAGGTATTTATACAGTGTAGAAAGCACATACATTGGTCAACAGTACTTACCGCCATTAAAAGGCTTTGACAACATAGCTAAATTAAACAATCTCAAATATGGTTTCATAAACTGGATAAACGAGCAAGGTACAGAATAACTTCTGACATATGCTACGGGATGGTAATTGATGATCAGTGTCATAAAACATTCATACATTCTGTTTGTAGCTGTCCAAAAGTATCTTAGAGGGATCATTACTTAGGTTTGAACCATAATTTGCTCAACAGTAGTAGTTTAATTATGTATCTTTATTTGATATTCAGGTTCAATTCTTAGCATTATTGAACTGAAAAAATGCAATTGTGCTCACATGACTGAAGTCTTGAAAAGGAGTGACAATGTATGCAACAGCCTGAAGTAAAAGCCCAAGACACACAATTCAGCATTATTACACGACATAGTAATATAGCAAGGTTGTAGCAGAGGTGACCATAATGGTTGTACAGAAAAAGCTGCTATTTAAAGAGGACTGAACTGTGGAAACAGTGCTCACAAAACGGCTGGCAGAGAGCAAAGGAATGGTTACCCCAATTACCTATAGCAGACTTTCTCAACTAGGGTTGCTCCAGAGGTTGTTAGGGGTTCCTTGAGCAATGAGAAATTTCTGCCTCTCAAATAAGTTCCCACTGACAGCACTTGTCTTTTTATCTGTCTATAAGAGGGTCAGTCTTCCCAATACCCACAAGTATAAGGAGCATTCTTCCTATGGACCATCTCACTAATATATCATGAGTTGTAGATACATACATTTTTAGTTGGGTTTACTTGAGACCAGAAAGTAATTTCAAGGGTTATTCTGTGTTGAAAAAGTTGAGAGAGGCTGACCCATCGGCTCACTTTAACCGATCTTTTCCCTAATATTGACCTACTATGGCATTTTATGCTCTGTGTCTCCTATATGTAGATGTCTTTCTTGGCACAGAAACAGGGCTTTGCTTCCTCATGTCAGAACTGCCCCCCAATGACTGATGATCTCATGACTAGTTGGTGAATAATCAAAAAGCAGAATAAAAGGGAGGAAGCATAGGTCCACAGAATAATAATGCTCAAACGGAGAGTCTTGCACTGCGTCTTCTCAATCAAGGAGGAACAGTGAGCAGGACAATAGCAACAGCACCAAATCCCACTCAAAAATCTCTAGCAGTCCACAGCAGTAACCCCTTTAATTTTGCACCAATGATAAAAGGTTATGAAGCTGTAGATTTCTATAAAATAGCATATCTTCACTTTTACCAAGGGATGAGGCATCACTTCTAGCCAGTCCCTGCATTCCTTTAGTTCAATATATTTTCAGCATGCAACCATCACAACCCTTCACTCATGGCCTCAGAAAAATGAAAATAATGAATTAGTTAAGGAAGCAACCAGTTCATAGTCAGTTCCTTTATCAACCAATACTGTCATCTGTCCTCATTAATTAGCAAGGAATCTCTGGATATGTAAACATAGCAGCCAGAATAGTTAAAAAAAAAAAACAAAACAATGTGGGGTACTTCATACCAGAACCTAAAGGTCTGGAATACAATTTAAAGGAGACCCAATGCAAAAAAAAAAAAATGCATGGGCGCCCCCAAATTCTATACCAAACCTGGATCTGTTATAAATTTTATGGGGGAACCCCATGAAAAAGAAAAAAACATGAGGCCCTCCTCAAAAATCCATATCAGACCCCTATCCAAGCAAGCTGATAAGGACAAGAGCCTCTTTCCCACTTCCCTGGCCCAGTGATTGTGGAAGTCTGTAGGCAGGGAACATGTTGGAATCTGGAAGACCCCTTTAACAATAAGGGACTATCCAGTTACTGTATGAATGAGTAAGAGATACATAATACCTCTACTCATTCACAAAAAAAGGGAAATGTAAAAATACAAAAAACCCCAAACATGTCCCATAATGTAAATTCACCATCAATCATGTCCTCCAGGGATGCAGTTTTATGTCATTCATGATTGATGATGCCGACAGCCATCCGACCAGAAGTATCTGGTATGAAATTTGGGGAAATCGGTGCCTTTTATTATTTTGCATGGGGTCCCTAATTACCATCTATACCAGACCGTATAGATTAAAAGAAAATCCCTGGCTGCCTTGCTTAAAATGAGAAGTTAGAAGATGAAGCTGACAATTGCCAGCAATTTACCCAATTGCAGACCAGCCCTATTTTGACACTTTTTTTGTTTACATGTAAAAATCAGTTTTGTTTTTTTTTTTGTAAAAAGTTACCTAGATCTCCCAAACATTATATATTTTTTTTAAAGCAGAGGCCCTAGAGAATAAAATGGTGGGTTTTGCAATTTTTTATGTCATGCAGTATTTTTGCGCAGCAGTTTTTCAAGCACAGTTTGGAAAAAAATACACTGATGATATTGAATTGTCAAAAACACAATATGATACCTAATTGTTTGGTAAAGTATAAAAGATAACATTATGCCGAGTATATATAGATCTAACATGTCACATTTTAAAATTATGCACGCTTGTGGATTGGCTCCAAACTGCAGTACTTACAAATCCCCATAGGTGACTCTTTAAAGCATTTAAAAGCCTTTACAGGTTACCAGTTTGGATTTACACAGGAAATCTGGTGCTAGAATCATTGCTCTTGTTCTGACGTTTGTGGCAATACCTCACATAAGGTACAGTCACTGTTTACATATGCATGTGGGACCCGCGCATACATTCATCTTTGTGCACGAGCACGGTTGAATGGCGGGGCTTTAAAACATTTTTTTTATTTTATTATTTATTTTATTAGATTTTTTTTTTACCCTGTCACTTTAAAAAAAAGTATCACTTTTATTGCTATCACAAGGAATGAAAACATACACTTGTGATGGCAATAAGCAGTGACAGATCCTCTGAAATATCTGGTCTATTAGACCCCAGATCTCTCCTCTGCCCTTAAAAGCATCTAGTCAAACCAAAATCTTTTTTTTGATCAGATGCTTTTTACAAGTCAAAAATGACTTGTTTACATGCTGGGGAAACCGGAAGTGACAAAATACTCACCATTTCTGGTTTCCAATACTACAGAGATGATCAGGGAAGATCTGTAGCCCGATCACCACTATGAAAACCCAGGGAAACCACCAGCTTCACGCCATCTATAAGGCAGGGCAAAAGGGGCAGCCTTTGAGCCTGTGCTGTCCAGGGTGCTATCCTCTTCCTCTCCCCGCATGGCTTCAATTCCACTGGGGAAGCTGCCACTGCTGTGCCAGTGCATGTAGAAATTCGAGCCATCTGCCTCTTTACACCCCCCCCCCTCTCTCCAAGGCCCCACTGTGACACTGTCCGACGGATCCCATCACCCCACACCAAGTGCCCCATGCCGCCCTGTGCTCACATTGACAGACCTGACTGGAAACTGCGCTGTGAAGGAAGAAGGGAGAGCCAGACCAGGCTCAACTCAACTCAGGTGAGACCACATACAGGCACACACCGGGCAGGCACCTTAACCCCTACACTGCCAGGAGGAGCACTGATTTACTGTCCCAGGGGCTTTCTATTTTAATGTCACCCTACAATAGGCGGGGTCCCTGGACTGGACGCAGCCACCTTTCTATGGAGGGGCCCCTGGACTGGTGATAGTATCTCTATGGAGGGGCCCTTGAACTGGAGGTGACAGTCTCCCTATGAATATGGAAGGGCCCCTGGACTGGAAGTAGCAAGTTCTCTATGTAGGGCTCCATATAGAAACTGCTACCTCCAGTCCAGGGACCCCTCATGAATAGATTGCCATCTCCAGGCCAGGCTTCATAAAATGATTGCCACCTCCAGTCTAGGGGCCCCTTCATAGGGAGACTGTCATGTTCAGTCAAGGGACCCCTCCATAGAGAGATTGCCTTGGTAACTGCTAGCAACCAGTCAGTGGTAATGATGTGTAGTAACCACTAGCAACCAATCAGTGAATAGTAGCAATCTTATGTAACCTCTATCAATCAGCAATAATGTTTAGCGACCAATTGGTGAGCGGTAAGGATGTTCAGTAACCTCTAGCAACCAGTGTGTGGTAAGGATGCGCAGTAACCTCTAGAAATCAATTAGTAATGACGTGCAGTAACCTCAAGCAACCAATCAGTGAGCAGTAACGATGTGCAGTAACCTCCAGCAACCAGTGAGCAGTAACATCTTGCAACCAGTCAGTGAGCAGTAATGATGTGCAGTAACCTCTGGCAACCAGTCAGTGAGCGGTAATGGTATTCTGTAACCTCTGGTAACCAGTTGCAGTTGCTGCCTGATCTGCTATAGTAAACTGATTTTGAGTCTAGCTGCTATTTATTGTATGTCTCAGAGCAGGTGGAGCGCAAAATTGCAGGGGGAAGGGGGGCAAGAAAATGTTTGCCCAGGGCCCAATCAGTATTAAAAACGGCACTGGGTGGGAAGGGAGAGCCTAGAGAGGCAGCAGAGGGTGGCAGGGGAGGGACCCCCTTCCACCGCCTGTAAAAGCAATCCAGCAGCTAATTAGCCACTAGGATTGCTTTAAAAAAAAAAAA